ATAAATAAATAAGTGAAAGGAAAGTCCGATGCTGCAAAGAAATATACTGCATAGGAACCTGGAATGTAAGATCTATGAACCTTGGGAAGCTGGAGGTGGTCAAACAGGAGATGGCAAAAATAAACATTGACATCTTCAGTGAACTAAAATAGACAGGAATGGGAGAATTCAATTCAGACGATTATCATATCAACTATTGTGGGCAAGAAGCCCATAGAAGAAATGGAGTTGACCTCATAGTCAACAAAAGAGTGGGAAAAGCTGTAATGGGATACAATCTCAAAAATGATAGAATGATTTCAATATGAATCCAAGGCAGACCTTTCAGCATGACAGTAATCCAAGTTTATGCACCAATCACTGATGCTGAAGAGACTGAAATTGACCAGTTCTATGAAGACTTACAACACCTTCTAGAACTTACATCAAAGAAAGACGTTCTTCTCATTATAGAGGACTGGAATGGTAAAGTAGGGAGTCAAGAGATAAAAGGAACAACAGGGATGTTTGACCTTGGAGTTCAAAAAGGAAGCAGGGCAAGGAGTTTTGTCAAGAGAACAAGCTAGTCATCACAAACACTCTTTTCCAACAACACAAGAGGCAACTCTATACATGGAAATCACCAGACGGGCAATACCGAAATCAGATTGATTATGTTCTCTGCAGTCAAAGATGGAGAAACTCTATACAGTCAGGAAAAACAAGACCTGGAGCTGATTGTGGCTCTGATCATCAGCTTCTTATAGCAAAACTCAAGCTTAAACTCAAGAAAGTAGGATAAACCACTAGGCTAGTCAGGTATAATCTAAACCAAATCCCTTATGAATACACAGTGAAAGTAAAGAACAGATTTAAGGAACTTGATTTGGTGGACAGAGTGCCTGAAGAACTTTGGATAGAGGCTTGTAACATTATACAGGAGGCAACAACCAAAACCATCCCAAAGAAAAGGAAATGGAAGAAAGCAAAGTGGCTGTCCAACAGGGCTCTACAAATAGCAGAGAAGAGAAGGGAAACAAAATGCAAGGGAGATAGGGAAAGTTACAGAAAACTGAGTGCAGACTTCCAAAGAATAACAAGGAGAGACAAGAGGGCCTTCTTAAATGAACAGTGCAAAGAAATAGAGGAATAGAGGAAAATAGAGGAAAATAACAGAAAAGGAAAAACCAGAGATCTGTTCAAGAAAATTGGAGATGTTAAAGGAACATTTTGTGCAAAGATGGACAGGATAAAGGACAAAAATGGGAGGGACCTAACAGAAGCAGAACGCATCAAGAGGAGGTGGCAAAAATACACAGAGGAATTATACCAGAAACATCTGTGTGTCCCGGAGAACCCAGATAGTGTGTTTGCTGACCTTGATCTAGACATTCTGGAAAGTGAAGTCAAGTGGGCCTTAGAAAGCATGTCAGATCACTTGACCATATGCTCTTTTGTACAAAATAATAAAAATAAAATATCCCTGCACATAAGAGAACAAATATCACACAATAAGAGTTAAGGATGTCGAAGAGTATGAGATCCAAGATCTGTCAGCTTCTGCATTCTGCTCATACGATGCCCAATCAGTTGACTCTGGGATGCCCACAAGCAGGATGTGAATGCCATAGCTTGTTCCAACTTTTGTTTCTCAGAGGCTGAGATTTTGAGGTCTATTGCCTTGAGTACTTGAAATAACATGTAGCCATCATTACTAGGAGTCATTCATACATTCAAGGGGTTTGTATAGCCTCTTTTCAAGATTCACTCCCCATCTCAGCTTGGCAGTTCTCATTGTTGATGGAAGTTTGCTTGCTTATCTTTGGAGTATGTTTATGAATCAACATTTATCTATGCACACATCTGCCTGCAATCCAAACTGATCAAGCCCAACCAATATGGTACTGGTTAACACATCTATGAAAATTAGGCAATGCTTTTGCCTCAAGTGGCAAAAATGTCTGTCTGTCATAGCACATGATTTTCTTCATCTACATATTTTGCTTTTAATGTATTTTGTTTCAGTCATGTGATCTTATGAGTCTTATGACAGAATGCTGATGGGTAACAAGATTATCAGGAACCACACACAATACAAGTGTAACCTAAAAGCATTTGTAGTGGCTCACCTCCCAGAATCCCCAGCTAGCAGGGGATTCTGGGAGCAGTCATCCAACAGCAGCTGGAGGCTCAAGGTTTTGAACCAGTGTACTAGAGTCTAGTCATCATCCTGTTTCACAAGGTCTTGTTTTAGAGAATGTTTACTATTGCATAAGCTGGTACATTAAAATAGGGAATACAAACATGGCTTTCAGTAAGAAAGAGTTGGGGTGATGTTTTTTAAACAATAACAGTGTTTCTTTGGTGATTCTCTGCCAGTGTTTACTATTTTTGTTGTACAAGCCCACATTGTCTTTGATTTTTTTTAAAAAAAATCAGTTGAATTTATTTCATTGTGCATCTTTATTAGATGTTTCTCATGGGCCAGCCATCCCGAGACACCCTGCTGTGCTGTGGTGTGACCAGTGAAGGCATTTTCAACAATAAACAAGGTATTGTGTGCTTTTGAAGAAACATTGGCAATTTCAGGGCTGAGATGGCTTGGAACTGTTTCAATGTTTTCTTCTTACCATATTGCATTGATGGCCGTGACGCTGGGGAAGAAAATGAATTAAGTTGGAAGAACATTTTTAAAAAAATGTCTTGAATGCAGACTGATAAATTAAATAGGCAGTACTCAATCAAGCTTTATAGTTGTGCATAGAAGGTCAATGTGGAGGGGAATCGGGAATGGGATTCTAATGCTGGCCCCCACTTAAACCTTATTTATTTATTTA